GCGGCGATCGACCTTGTGGGAAACGGATTCCCCTCCCCCCCTCCTCACGGGCCCGGGGGGGGCCCCCAACCGCCTCCCCCCGCGCGAGGGGCGGTAACGGGGCAGTAGCTCGCGCCGCTGCCCTCCCCGGCCCGCACCCCCGGCCCGCTCCCAGCACTAACGTCCTGCGTCCGCCGCTTCGCCGTCGAAGAGCAGTGCGGATCCTGCTTCCGCCCCCGCCCAGGACCTTGCGCCTAGACTGTCCCGCCCGCGCCTGTCGCCCCACCCAAATCGAGCGAGAAAAGCGCCTCCCCCCCCGCTTTCTCTCCTCCGTTGGGGAAGGGGCGGAGCAGCTCTTCGTACGCGGCGGCGGGGGAAGGGGGGAGATCCCCCTGGCGCAGGCAGCACGGCGGGCAGCCCCTGAGACGGGGAGGGCGGAAGGACCCCGCGAGGCGCACAAGGCCGATGGAGCTGGTGGGCGGCTGCTACGAGCAGGTGCTGTTCGGCTTCGCGGTACAGCCGGCAAAGGTAAGGCGGGGGGCGATTCCATAGTGGAAGTGGGGCGGGGGGCAGGGGAGCGGACGTTGTATTTCGAGGGTGAGCAGCGGCCACTGGCTATGACGTAATCCTCTCGTGTTCTCGCCCCGCCCCCGCGACAGCGCTGGAGCCTGTCCGCTCACTTACCTGGCTGGGAGGCGCCTGGCGCTGCGCTTACCCGAGCGGCCGTTTAAAGCCCAGGGAGCGCTGGCCCCTCCCACCCCCGCGTTTTCTGGGCCCGCTCAGTGATTTTACTGCAGGAGGCGTTTGTGTAGGCCCGTGATCAGCCTTACGTACGTTGCGCAGCTGACTGCTGCCTTGCGCCGGAAATACAGGGGACGGCCCACGTGTAAAACCACTGTCACTGGGGAATCGCGCCATGCGTTTAGGGCGGCGGCCTGTGCAACTGGGTTACTGGGGAGTCACGCGGCCACACGTGCGAGGGGGTTCTCACGCGGTTCGCTGGGGGACCGCGCAGCACGTTTCGAGCGGCCACGTGCGCAAAGGAATTAGGGCGCAACAAAAAAGACCGCTGGGCTATAAAGTGAGGGAAGTAGCTACGGAGTTAATGCTTGGAAAAGTATAAGTGCACTAGAGCCAGACTCTGTGCAGCTGTCATTTGAATGTGTAGCAGGGCCCATGGAGCTACAGGGGTGCAGATCCAGAGTCCGCTGTCTGTGATCAGTGACCCACCTATGTTCACTGGAGCCCCTCCCCGCCCCCACTGCTCATCAGGATGCAGATGTGGCATCTCGGGCAGTTATGATTGATCCAGGTTAAAATCGGGACAAAAGGCCTAAAACCAGAGAACTGAATTGTTTTGTTTTTTTATTTAAATTTTCCATATTCCAAGCCAAATTGGCCAAAACAAATTCCAAATCCGTGAGTCGGTCCAGACCCACAAGTGGCCCTGCTACCGGCAAACATCCTCCACCCCCATCTAGGGCTTCAGGTGTTTCCAAAACTTTTGGTGGGCATCTTACTTGCAGGCCCAAGCCGGGAGGCTTGGGGTTTGGATGTCCCTGAGTTTCGCTTGCCCTCAGCCATAAGGCCCCAGGAGGAAGCTAGGGAGGAATCTCCCCTTTCCATAAAGTGGGTATTAGGCCAAGACCTTCCCACTCCAAAGCTAAGTGGGAGGTTTACTATACATTACCTTGGCAGGTACAGTGCTATACCCATGCCAGGAGAGCAGTCTTCCCCGGGTGTGACTAGGAAGACCACCTTAGTGATCACAGTGTTTCCCTTGCCAAGCAAGCATAAGACTATGTTTGATCTGAGCCCACACAACCAGTTTAATCCAGGGCCATTTGTCCCAGGTTTTGATTAAACAGGCCAGGATAACTGCTTATACCAGGGGTGTTCAACCTCCATCCTGCAGGCCAGATCTAGCCTGCAGCACTGTTATTCCGCCCATGGGGCTCTCCACAGGTCTAGAAATTTGGTGGCATTACCACTCCCCTACTGCCAAATCTTCAGACCCAGGGGAAGTCCCAGGCCCTGTGTACTGTATCCCAGTCCCAAAGCACAAGGCTAGGCAGGGGCAGCACTGGGTACCCAGGACCCAATCCCAGCACTTGGAGGTGGGATTACACAGTGCCAGGGCCCCAGGACACAATCCTAGTGGGAGAGGGCAGTACAGGGCACTTGTTTCCAATCTGTCCCACAGACCAGCCCCATGCCACTCATCTGGCCTCTGGGACCAAAAAATTGAACACTACACAGGCAGCTTTAATGAAAATTACCCTGAATTAGCTTTGATTCTGCCCCCTTCTACCTTCCATTCAGGTATTTCACATGTACTTGAAGTGGAACAAGGAGCTTGTAGGGTTCCAGGGTAGAAGGCTTTGTCCTGGGATAAACTGATCATCTGTTTCTAGCCAAGAAGAGCCACACAGCCCTTTACACTATAGCTTGTTCTTGGAATGCATGCCAGTGTGTTCAGGGGTGTAAGTTGTAGCTGTGTTGATCTAAGGCCATAGGCAGACAGAGTTCTTTGGGTAAATCCAATATCTTTTATTAGACCAACTCAGATCTCTCTCATACTCCACAAGTACAAAAGGTGGGGCAATGGAGTTATAACCAAGTAAAAGAAATATGTTAGTCCTACATCTCTCTTTCCCACCCACCAGTGGAGGGGCAGAGAGACCCAAGCTGTGAACATGGGTCATACCAGGTCCCCAGAGAATTGTCTGGATTCTGCAGCAAGTGGAGGCCATACATGATCAGATTTATTATTGTAGATTTATATTGTGCCTTATCCAAAAGGCTTGGTGGGAAAGATGGGACTAAGTTTGGGTTTCCATAACAGTACGTATTTGACTGTTTTTTCCAAAGGCCCTACATGCTCTTTTCAGGATAATACCAACCTATCTCTGTCATCATGCATGAGAAATTCTGGGAACTAACAACCTTGTTAGACTCAAGTCACCCCTCAAAAAATGCCCACTCTTAGCTTTCACTCGCTTCCTTACCACAGAAAGATAATAGAGCCGTTCTTCTGTTGTAAAGAGCTCAGAGCACAACAGGTCTGGATGGTTTTCACACTATGGATTCTGATTTGAAATCTCCTGAGTTTGTTGTGAATCACATGTAGGTGTTTGCACACCTAACAGTGCTAATATTATGTGGCACCCTTAAAAAGTTCTCGCAGCACCTCACTGTGTCATGGCACTCTAGTTGAGATTCACTGGTCTAACCACTAGTATTACACTTTCTGCAACTTGTGATACTGTAAGTAGTAGGAAACGTAGAGTGTCACTTTAGTCACTTATAACTATTTTGTATAATTGGCAAAACGTTCATAATTGTTTTGTTGTACTGTAAATGTGAGTCTTCAGATATGTGCTGTTACCAATGGGTTAACCACAGACAGCTAGAGTACATCACTTTGTGTGCTTCAGAAAACAAGCTTGTTTATTTTGTATTTAATTTTCAGAACTGGACAGCTGTTCCTGACTTTACCCATCATGCCCACACTGCCTCATTATCAGCGGTTGCTGTGAATAACAGATATGTAGTTACTGGTAGTAGGGATGAGACAATCCAAATCTATGACATGAAAAAGAAGATAGAGTGTGGGGCATTGCTGCAACATAATGGTAAGGAAATTTATCTTACAGGTATTAATGACAGAAAGTCCTCATCACCAGTAAGCCATGTACCAAAGCACTGTCAATTTTAATAGGTTTTTACTAGAGAAAAATGCGAATGAAACCAAAGTGTGCGTAGATAAGTAAATGAGACTTACCTGAGAGAATGAGGGTTCAGATAGAATTCAGAGGGAAATGCTGCTCGTTTGCTTCAGAGGAAAACAATAGAAAGACAACAGTTATTTTAATATTGTGATAAAACTAACTTACAGAAAGAAGAACGTAATAAATCAACTAGTATTATTCTAATGAGTAGAACAAATGCCTGGCTGGGCTGTTTGGATGCTAGGGGTAGGCTGTTCTTCACAGCTATTTATGTATTACTGTATGCTTTATGTCCTTCATTATTCTTGCCAACACTGAGTACTGTGTACTTGCAATTTTATATCTCCTAGGTACAACCAACAAGAATTGTATGAAGACATACATACATTACTGGTGTCATCCAAAAATTAAGTCAACCTCAAGTCGTTCTCTTCTTGCACTTCAAAATATAATGTTGTATGTGGTGCTCTTAGATGCTTTGAAGTTTATAATTGAAATACTGAGAGTTATAAAGCTAACATTTTCAGTCTGTACCTGGCTATTCAAAGTGTATTGTTGTTAACAGTGCTAATCTTGATCTGCAGGCACAGTGACTTGTCTGGAGTTCTATGGTAATGCACACTTATTGAGTGGAGCTGAAGATGGACTAATTTATATTTGGAACACAAAGAAATGGGAATGTCTTAAATCCATTAAAGCACATAAGTGAGTGTTTTGAATTGGCTTATTTGCATTAATTTTATATTACACACATACACAGACACAGAAAACATGGCTAATTTCTTGTTGTTGTATTGACTTTCATTAGGGGGCATGTGACATCCCTGTCTATTCACCCTTCTGGAAAATTAGCTTTGTCAGTAGGAACAGACAAAACATTAAGGTAAGTCAGAACTACTTGACCCTGTTAGTTCAGTTTACATCAAAGGTGTAAAACTCATCCAGATTTGTGGGCCGGACGAAGGGCACAGGGCCAGTCTCTGGGCTGGATCAAGCCTTCAGACCAGCCCCACGTGCCAGACATAGCCCACACCTCTGATCCAGTGGCACACTGGATCTGACACAGAACCAGACTGTGGCCCTGATCCAGTCAGGCCCTGGATCCGGCATGCAGGGCTGGTCCAGCCTTGTGCCATGTCCAGCTCTAACTGACAGGTTCTGTGTGCTGTATGCTGCACACAGGGTTGGTTCTAGCACATGCTGCATTGCAGTAGGCATTGCTGTGGGCTGGATGATGTGGGTTTGTGGGTCAGATCTGGCTGTCAGGCCATATCTTTAACACCCCTGGTTTATGTCTTGTTCTGTAAGCAAAAACTATATATTGTGTTTTGCATAAGTACATTTACATAAGTCACATTCTTAGTCTAAGCAAGTGCGTAGGCATCAATTTGAAGAGGAAATTACTGGCAAAGAGTAGCTTATAAAATAAGTGATGCAAATTTAACTGTGCAGAAACAAAAATGTCTAGT